CTTAGATTCTTGTAATTGGTTCCCCCTTTCTACCCCACATTCCCTTCACCCTCCAGGCATCGCCCCTCTCACCACTGATCCTGAGGGAGTCATCTATACTGGATTCCCTTTGTTTCCAGTTGCTATCTGTACCAATGTACATCCTCCGGTCCAGCCAGATTTGTAAGGCAATTGGGATCATGAGAGTGGGGGAGGGGAGGAAGCATTAAAGAACTAGAGGAAAGTTATATGTTTCATCGTTGCTACCCTGCACCCTGATTGGCTCGTCTCCTCCTCACAACCCCTCAGTAAGGGGGTGTTCAGTTGCCCACTGATGGGCTTTGAGTCTCCACTCTGCACTCACCCACCGTTATAATGATATGATTTTTTGTTCTTGGATGCTTGATATCTGATCCCTTCGACAGCTCCTGGTCACACATGCTGTTGTGCTTCTTCCTTGTGGGCTTTGTTGCCGCCTGTTTACCTTCAAGCCTTTAAGACCCCAGATGCTGTATCTTTCAATAGCCGGGCACCATTGTTTACCAGTTGGCCGCCTGTTTACCGTCAAGCCTTTAAGACCCCAGATGCTGTATCTTTCAATAGCCGGGCACCATCAGCTTTCTTCACCACCTTTGCTTATGCACACGTTTGTCTTCAGTGATCGTATCAGGAAGGTGGACACCCACTGATCTGATTTCCAGTTCTTTGATGTCTGATAACGGGTCCCTTCTGCACCTCGTGGTCAGTCAGGCTGGTGTGTGAAGACCCTATATTGCTATCCTTTTTCTTTTCTGTCTTTTCCCTCATCAGCCGAGAATACTGTGCTGAGGTAATAGAACTGTTTCACGTTCAGTTCAGTAACATCCACCAGTGTTACTGTTACAAGAGGTGGCAAAAACTCTGTTTTCTGCAGTCTGCTGGGAAGCCTCTTTTCTTGCAGCTAGCTGCCCGGTTGCTGAAGCCAGGTCAGCATGAGTAAGCTCAGTTAGTGCCCCAGCACCCAGCCCCCCCACCCTCCGCCCCCCCCACCCCACCCCACCCCGCCCCATAGCTCCTTACTGTGATTCCAACTTTCATTTACAACCCAGTGTCTCTAAAGCAAATCCGCTGTAGCCTTGCTTTCCTCCCCCCCCCCCCCCAAAGGACCAGCACCAGGTTGTTCCTCGTCCGTGGAATTCTAAATTAGCGTTTAGACGTGAGCATTTAATAGTTGATATCTTCACCCTCCTACTGACCATCTATCTATCCAACCATCCTTCTTTCAGCTAATTGTTTCTCTCACAGGCTGCAGAAAAGAGCTGACCGTGCTAAATGGTAAACTCTTAAAACGCAGGGTTTCTAAATTATGAACTAGAAATTGAGACTCCTCGCCGTACAATAAATCATCATAGGCTTTTACACAGACGGGGCCCCACTTGCTCCAGGCCTGTGCTCGTTGGACTTGCCCAGGGGGTTTTCCTGAGGTCCCAGGAAAGGGTACAGGTATCAAGGTACACAAGCACGTGAGGATCCACGTTGACAATGTGTGTCTCTTGGGGGGGCGCGGGGGGGGGGGGGGGGGGGGGGGGGGACGAGTTGGCTCCTCCCCATGTATGTGTTTTGTGCGCCATCTAGTGACTGCAGCTCAGACAAACTCATCCTTTCTTGCAGCCATGAAGTCATTCTGATTTGCAGGGATCCTAAAGGACAGAGCAGAACTGCTCCTCTGGGTTTCCAAGGTTTTATCTATTTGCAAGAGTAGATGGTTTCTTCTTGCCTTCTTTCCCTGTGGAGCAGCTGGTGGGTTCGAACTGCTGACTTTGTGGTTAGCAGCCCAACATGTACCCACTGTGTCACCAGGGCTCCTGAGAAAGCCTAAGATCCGCAGGATAACAAATACCCCAGGCTGGGGTGATGTGCCCTCGGGGTCAGCTTCCTGTTCCTAAACTGGCTGGATTTTTTGCAGTACGCACATGACCAACGGCATGTGCATTCTTGGGAGGTGGTCGGAAGCCATGAGGTATACAACAAAAAGATTAACACATTTTAAGGGCCGATCAAGAAAACAAAAATGTGATGTTGTACAACTATTCCAGAAATAAGACTCTAAAAAAGTCTATGAGCTCTGAAAAGCAATGAAGACTGTATAACCCCATGCAAAGGGAACAAATATCAGAATTTTATGATTGGATAAGTGGGATGGTGTAAGCTATGGAAAAAATCAACAATAACAATATATCATATATTTGGCAATGGGGGGTGGGGAGGGAGGAGATAAAGGGGGTGGGGCTGATATCAAGGAGTTCAAGAAGAAAAGAAAATGTATTGAAAGTGATGATGGCAGCAATTCTACAATTATGCTTGATCTAATGGAACTATGGATTGTAATAATATCTGTAAGAGCTCCCAATAAAATGTGGGATTTTTAAAAAGATAATACATCTAAACCCATCTAAACTGTTTGAGACAATTCCTGGCACCTAATAAGAACTAAGTAAGTATTTCTATAGAAAAATAAATGTTTAATAAATAAATAAATAAGTCTACTGCTGTAGTTTATCAAATAAGTGAGTTTCTTCTATTAACATGGGAAAATACAAAAAGAAACGGAACAAAGAGGAAAAAATGAGCAGATATAGCGAGCAAACAACATGGGAGGCCAGATAGTCAAATGCGTTATAAACAGTTCTAAACCCGGGTTCAAATTTTAGAACCACTGCTTGCTGCCTGTATGATATGCAGTTTATTTAACCTCAGCCAGTTTCAGAGTACTCCTATGCAAAATGGAGGTAACCCCCTCCACTTCTCTCTTAGGATTACTAAGAGTTAAACCAAATGATATCTGGGGTACCAAGTTCAGGACTTCACATGAGCGTATTCAATAAATGGTAGCTATCATTAGACAGGAGTTCCTGGATGGTTCAGAGCTTCGTGAGTTTACCTGCTCACTGAAGGGGTGGAGCTTTGGCCTACCCAGAGGTGCCTCAGAAGAAAGGCCTGGTAATCTATGAGTTAGTTTATTGTGCCAACCTGGCCCATAAACACATGTGGGATTAAGTGAAGGATGGAGGGATAAATGGCTCAGTGAACCTCGCCTTTGTAGTTCTTGGGTCTCTTGCTTTGTGATGGTCGCACCAGGGTGCAGCTGCCTTAGCAATTCCCTGCTTCAGCTGGCAAGGCTGACTTCCTACAAGGCATCCCCCAGGAGAAGCCACATGGATCTACCCCAGTGCAGCCCTGGGTGCTGGAGCAGCCGTGTGGAGACCCCTGCCAGTGCTGAGATGTTTACACATTCACTGACTTGGCTTTCCTCCTGTAGTCGGCTTCACTGTGTCTGTTTTGTGAGATGGAGGAGGACTTTGTGGATTGGTGTCAGACATATGGGTTAAGGGTTAATGTTGGACTTGTGGGCTTGGGTAGCACTGGGTTGGGATGTTTGCTTGTGCACACTTAACCTTTACATAAAACTCTCTCTTATACGTGAGTTTCTGTGGATTTGTTTCTCTAAAGTGCCCAGACTAACACAATCTACTTCCGAAAAATCAATGAAAACCCTGGGTAACACCATTCTACTCTGACAGACATGGGGCCACTCTGATTCAGAATAGCCTCTGTGGTAACCTAAGTCCATAAACCATTAGTTCAGTGGTTCCAACCACCAGCTTCCCTGCAGGAGGAAGATGGGCTTTCCTATTCCTATAAAGAGGTACAGTCTCAACTTCACAAGGGCAATTCTACCCGGTTCTATAGGGTCGCTGTGAGTCAGAATCAACTTGATGGTAGTGAGTTATTTGATTTATTTTTGTTATTTTGAGTCAGAAATTATAGGACTGGACATGGAGTTGATGGGGGAATAGCAACTTGAGTCAGATTTACCAAGTCTACCTATTAAGGAGTCTTCTGAGAGCCCACAAAAGTCTATGACAGCCCAGCTGGATTGAATTGCCTTGGGGAGGCTGCCAGACACATCCGTATAATTGGGGGCACCTTCCCTCACTTTTCCAAAGAAGAGTTGGACTCCCACTGCTGACCCAGGAAGCAGAAGACCAGCATTGCCTCAAATCTCTCATTTGGAACCTGACAGGGCTACTTCTCAGGATTTCCTAACCCCCTAGTAGCACTCCAAGTTCTGGAGAACACACATATTGTGCTAGCCTCATACACATACCTGTACACAACTCCTCACAAACACGTACATGCATGATCGCACGCCCACTCACATGCGGACTCATGCCTGAGGAGGAAGCCCTCTGCTTGCCCCTCTGGTCATGTCCCTAAGCTGGAGACTGTAATGCCCTCTCCCTGATGTAAGGGCTCACCCTGGGCTCCCTGGGGGCAGCAACATTGCCTGCATGGCTAACCTTTTACCAGGCCAAGGAAAAACTAGGAACAAGCACACCGTAATATGATCCCCAATTAGCATAAAATAAAAACAACCCGGTCATGTTTTCCATGAGCTTTTCCAACCTCCGATTAAAAGCAGGAAGCAGGGGGAAAGTGATAGAAACACCCACGTGAAAAAATATATATGTGTGTGCATACTGTCCGTGTATGTACGGCCGTGACCATGAACCAAAATGAATGAATGATCTGTCGCTCTGAAAATCACGGAGCCGGATGCAGAACTCAGAGGATTTTCCTTTTGCAAAGAGCAATGTGAGAACAGACAGGAAGGGACCGTCTCCTGATTACATGGTGTGTGAAGGGTTACGTTTTCAACCATCCGATTCTACAGTGATTTATGATAATGTGCAGTGTTTCAAAACTTTCCCCCACCTCCCAAAACAGCCCTCCCCCTCCCCACTGAGTCCACCCTCCATGTGCCGACATGGGCAGGAGGGCGGTGTTTTGCTGATCTGTTAAATTCTTAGTGGAATCTCCTTGAGTCCCCGGCGCGGCTGCTGTTTGAGTTTGGTTTGGAGTGGAGCTGAGGTGGCCCTGACTCAATCTGGGCAAGAGAAAGGAGCAAAAGGAGAAAGAGGCAGGGGGAGGAGAGGGGTTGGGGGGGCGAAAGGTGGGTAGAAAGAATAGCAGGAAAAGAAGGGAGGAGGAGGGGGAAAAAGTCCCCTTTCAACCTCACATTCCTGCGCTTGGCCTCAGCCTGGAAAATGTATTAATCCCGGAGCTTTTACGCTGGGAGACAAAGGACCTAAGCCAGACTTTGGGGGGGCGGGGGTGGTGGTGCCGGGAAGGGTGATAAGAAAGCTCTGGGAACTTAAAGGGGGAGAGATCGCTTAGGAGAAGCCCGGGCTGCAAGTTGAAGGCCCCCATCCTGTGTCTGTGCGAGTGACAGACGCCCTGGACCACACGGGACCAGGCAGAAGCTGCAGGCCAATGGAAGTGCCAAGACTCCGGGGGACAGCTCCTCGCACCCCAGCCGCCTTGTCAAGAAGGTAAAAAAGACACAGGAAGGAAAGACAGCCGAAAAGGCGCTCGGCTCTGGAACACAACAGGACTGTGGTGGGACCGGGGAAGCTGGAGCTGCCGGGAACCTCCCTTTGTCCTGCGCACCCTGGCGAAGGGGAAGAGAGGGCCGGGGGGCAACGGATTCCACGTAGGAAGCTGTCCTGGGACCAGGCTTCAGCTTTCTGGAGCAGCCTTCGGTGTTGCAGCTCTATGAGCTGCGAGGTGAGTGTGGGACGCTTTCTGGTCTCTGGGTGCGGAGCTGGACTCGGGGGGGGG